CCAAATCCCCTGTCGAAAGTACAATGAAGTTCAAAACTACAGTTTCTTTCTGTTCCCCCGCCCCTTCGCCCTGTGTTAGTTTTTGTCGTCTTTTTTCTCGTCTTCGGTGGGATATGAGTGCCAAGTGAGTCTCTCTTCGTAGAAAGAGATGACCACCTGCGGACACTTCACGTTGGCCTCCTTCGCGGGAACCAAGTCGGCTTCGTCAGAGTTTTTCCTGTACGAACAGAAAACACAAATTCAGCCGATCGGCATGAGCAGACGAATGTTTAATGATGCGATTTGATTCCCCAACAACCGAGTCAGTTATTCAGTCACTGATGTTCCTGTTTTAACAGCTGCCCAGCAGTTACTGTGCATACTAACCATTTCATGAGGAACATGAGTTCTCCTGTGGAGTCAGTGGCACCAATAATCCTTTCTGGATCCAGCCCTCGAGCAAAGCCCCTTAGCTTCTCTGTCTGAGGATCAAATGACAAAATACAACTTCAATCACGCCCAAAACCACATTTCTGCATAAATACTACCTGCCTACGATAAGTCAGGCTTCTTATTTGCATTCAAAGGTCCAGTGTTTAACATTTAGGAGGCAGAAAAGGATAGTGATGTTTTCATTAATGTATAATAACCTGAATACAGGAAACATTGTTTTTGTTGCTTCAGAATGAGCTGTTTATGTCTACAGACGCGCGGGTCAGCTTCCATGGAGTCCACCACGTTCAACCGCCATGTTTCTACAGCAGCACAGAGCGGACAAACCAAACACTGGCTCTAGATTGGATTTTTGGCAACGTTTCAAGGCCACCGTAGTTTGTCCTTCATGCTTAGAAGGTGTGGGGAAGCACCTGAATCTGCGAACTACACCGCTAGATGCCACTAAATCCTAAACACACTGGACCTTTAAATTAAACCGAGACAAACAGAATGCCGCAAAAACATTTTGGGGAAACTGCTGTGAAAGCACAAACCGTTTGTTTGAAGATATGTAAGTGTGTAGCTTTAGGAATCTGATCCAAAACCTCATCAGCAAAAAAAAAGAATGCAGCTAAACAATCCTCTTTGTATTTGCTGCAGCTGAACCCAAATGTCCTCCAATGTTTGTCTGTTACCTACGAATACTGAAAAATGCTTGTTATAATTTCCCATGGTGATGTCTTCCAATGTCCAAACCCAAAGATAATCAGTTTACTATCATGAAGGACAAAGAAAAGCATCAAATCCTCACATTTGAGAAGCTGGTAGCAGCAGATGTTTGGCAAGGACTAAAATGATTAATTAATTATCAAAATCATTGCAGATTCATGTAATTAAAAATTTGTAGCACCACATATGTACTGCAATGAACTGTGGGTAATTCCTGTGAAGTCTGCATCCCAAGTGGACTCTGGAGGTCTACAGAAAGTCCACAAGCCCCTTTGTGGACTTGATGAACTGTGGATTTGGGCAGCCTGAGGCACTCGCAGACTTTCCGGGAACGAGTCTGCGAGTGCGGTGAAGTCTGGACATTTGGGATTCAGCTTGACAGTTGTTATTGTATTGTGGGTGTGTGACCGCACAGAGGGCACCCCCAGAGGAAGGGGGAGCCAGTAGTTAGTCGCATGATCCCAGAGTGAGGCACTGTTCAAGTGGACACCTCATTCATCATTCAGAAACCGTGCTGGTTGAGCAGCTGTGATCAGAAGACTGTGATGTGGTTTTAAATGACGAAGTTGCTCAGCTTGATGAGGTTTAATGCCTGAACTACAATAAACACCTGCAGCTCTTCCTGGTTTTGGGTTCACCAAACTTTTCTTGGCAATATTTAAACGGCTCTGCCCGCAAAAACAATGTCAATCTCATGCTGCGTAGAAGAGTTTTATCTCATCTGCCTCTTTCTTTTGTTCTTCCACAATCAAAACACAACACCAGAAAGAAAAAAAATAAACAAAACTTAACAGAGCCAGTTGCAACTTTTTATTAGACACATTATTACACATCACACATATTACACATAGTATTACTGATTGCACTATTTAATCTGATTGGATTCGACTACTTTGTGTCCTCATGCAGGTAAACACATACATGCACGTTGGTGGTCCGCTGTACTTTTTGTTGTGCGTTAAATTTTCAATTGCAAATTTGAACAGAAGGAAAGACACAGAAAAATAAGTCGTTCCTTGAGGTTTGGCGCGGTGGGTCAGAACTATAAGTACAACAGGGCATCTGGTAGTTACACATACTGAGCCCAGCAGTCGGTTTAAATGCTGTTACAGAACAGAAGTTATACAACTCATTTTTTAGTATGCCAAGATGAAAGTTGATTGTTTTTAACCAGTGGATCATTATTACTATGATATTAATGTATTTGCTGGTGCTGCCGTCCGCACAGACGAACCCACTTCGACCCTCAATGAAAAGATGACCATTAACGGGCAACGACAAAGAATTGGGACTTACATCGTCTTTTTTCTTCTTCGTTTTACTTTCATCTCCTTCTGCCTCTCCGGCTGCCTTCCTCTTTCCATCGTGTGCTGATTTCTGGGACTGCAGAAACTCTGCAATCAAATCTGGACAGTCCAGGTTGTCTTCTGGCTCCCACGTGTTATCTTCCCTGCAAACACAAGAGCATAAAAATACAGTATTTATGTATTTAATTAATGATGTAGTCACCTGTCAAATGCTGTGTATTGTTCTTTTCTTGGTTGTAATTTGAATGTATTCTCTGATTTGGAGGATAATGACAAGAAAAGATGTTTTAAAGACCCCCATAAATAAGCTAATGACAACAAAACACTCACTCAGAGAAGCCTTTCCACTTGAGGAGATACTCTACTCTCCCTTTGACCACCCGCCGATTCAGGACCTTTTCCACCACGTATTCCTCCTCCTCCTCCTCTTCCTCCGGCACGTCATCTGGCTTCTTCTCCTTCTTCTCAGGTGAAGTCATTTTGCTCTCCGCTGAAAACAGGAGCATTGAGCAGACAGTTACCGATCCTGAAGACGCCCACCCTTTTTTTAACGGCTCTTTATTGGCTGCAGATGTTTAAGACATTTCAGTGTTTAAGATGTTCACATTTGTTTGGGACACTTTTCTGCTGAGTGCAGTTTCAAGTGGGTTACAAACATTTACAGACATTATTCATTCCTTGAGTCTTGACTCACACCTCACCGCAGGACAAGGACAAGAGATACAGAGAAATGTATGTTAGAAAATAATGATATATGAAACCTTCTGTAACAGTGGGACCATCGTTAGGGGGTTCTGTAGTCAGGCTCATACTCATCAGGTAGACCTGGGGACCAGCAGGTTCCTGGTCAACATCAAGATTGTTGCATGATGGAAGCAAGCCGGGATCAATGTGGTAGAGAGGAGAAAACAGCATTGGAGAATGGGATTTAATGAAAAGATACATGGGTAACAGTGTGAAGCGATGTAGATCAGCCGTAACCGATGTGTTTCACGTTTAAAATCCAATCTGCATTGCCTAAAGTTACCCATGTATGTGTAAACTCATCTGATCCCTTACAGAGGGGTTGGTGTTACAAGTGTGTTGTAGTTGGCGCACAAAAATTACAGAGGGTTGCCACCTCAATACTTATCACTTTACTCATTGATAACACGGCGGTGGCGTTCGTGGACGTGCCAGTAGGTCATTGGCTCTGGACCCTCACTAGTGCCTATATCTCAGCTTTTAACACAAGATAAGACTTTATTGATCCCACGCTGGGTGTATTCCCTCCCTACAGTGAATAGTGTGTATTCAGCTCCAGATACAACACAACAGATAAGAAAATACACATTAAATTAAAACAGAATAGAAAAGATAAAATAAAAAAATGCAAGAATAGAATAAGAGTTATATGAACACTGTGTATATATGTATATATGCACTTGCCAGACACAAGAAAACATTAAAATTAAAGTTGTCTAAACAGGAAAAATCTGCTCAAAATGCATTAAAATCGCTTGTTTTACACAAACTTACAGCAGCTACTGAAAATATCCCTAAAATAAATCCCTGTCAGTCAATAAACGATAGAATAAAGGGGAATAAAAGCACCGTGGACCGCCGTTGTTACCTGCCAACTACAGTGCAACACCTGGCGGCTGCAGCACGCAGCATTAACACAAAACAAACACCCTCTTTAAACACACCAGCATTCATGTGGCGTTCAAATACACCCGTAAACCTTAAACCCAGGTGTCATTTCTGGTGGTCGCTAACGTTAGAAAGAGAAAGGGGGAGAAAACACGTCGCGACAAAGCCCCCCCACCACCCCCCCAAATAAAAAGGTACCTCAGCTTGCAGCTAAGGCTAGTCGCTGTCTCCATATTGCATTTCGTTTGGCAGCTATTTACCAGAATCTGTGCTCGTCGTATCGATTATCTATTGCCACACGGTGATATGTGTGTAGTTATTCTGCACATTTATCGAGCTACCGAGCCACCTAAAGACGTTCAGAGCCGTGCACGACACATTTAAAACGTTTACCCCGAAACAACACGTTTGGAGGGAGGAGAGGAGAGAAGACGAGAAAAAATGTGGAGGAAAAAAATAAATAAAAAAACTCACCGGTGATTTTACAATTTATTATTATTATTATTTGTTTTTAAAGTTCCACCCGGATCGAAATAAAACAACAAATTCACAGTGATAAATTAAGTATTTTTTTTGTTGTCAAAATGCAGAAACCGCTAGCTTCACCACAGTGCAATGAGCCCGTTTCCGCCCCTCCGTCTGGTATGTGAGGAGAGAGAGAGAGAGGAAACCGTGAGCGGATTTCGCAGATCTCTACAGCACATGGATTTACTCACCGCCGTAAGCGGACACGGTCGCGCTGCGTGGCGTCTGACGTGTAGATCTGCGCATGCGGAGTGCACGCAAACGGTGGACTGGATCGATGGAGCGGCGCCTCCGAAGCGTGATGAGATAAACGCTTTACAAATGTGATCGATAAACCGTGTTTTTGTTCATATTATCGGGGAGTTATAGTGTTTTACACATTGTTATATTAAAATACTTTTAATTAATATTTAATATAACCCTTAAAAGCCTGAGATCCCTTAGTTTGTCCATTAATTTGAATAGGAGAAAAGTGAAACCCTTTAAAAAAACACCTTAATTTCAAAACTACACAGACTTAGCCTTCACTTTATTGATCCCTTTGGGATGACTCCCTCAAGGAAATTGAATTTAATGTGTTATTTAATACTATATATTTAGTATTAATACTAAATATAGAGAGTAAACAATAAACTCTTAGCT